TTGCCATAAGGTCACCCCTGGTTGAACCAATGTCTTGTGAAAGAAAGAGCACAAGGCTGAGGGAATCAAGTCTGGGCAAGTCTGCAGCTTCACGAAGTACCCATTTTCCACGGTGTGTCTTTGTCAGTCAGCAGGGAACAGAGTTACAAAGCTGGTGAGGAGCAGTGCTGTTGGGATTGCAGAGGGGTGATGGGATGGGGAAAACACAGGGATGAGAGCCCTTTCCCGCACTGTCCCTTCTGTGAGCAGCTCTGTGGCTGAAGCCCAGCGGCAGGGGAACTGAAGCCAGCTATTGAAGAGCTTTTTGATCTCAGGCAAAGAGCAATACTGGACTTTCTCTTAAGGAAAGAATACAAATAGCTGAGGAGTGAAAGGTGGCCTGGGATTTTTCCTTTCATGAAGGGCTTGGTTTATTTCTGAGCTGAATAACTCAGCTCCCTCTGAGCTGCAGTCCTCCAGCACACTCTGTACTCACGGGAAACCTGCAATGCCACAGTAACCAGACCCACAGATGCCAGTAAATGAAAAAGTATGGCTCATTGGTGCAGGGGACAATGCAAGGCAAATGGGGAGAAAGTGCAAGCAAAAGCTGTGCTGATAATGCCAGAGTGGCAAGTAGAAAGGCATTTTTGGAAGATGTGGCCTTGCCTCCCCTGTAGTATTCTGCTAGCCTCTGTGCTGCATGGTTTGAAGACAAAGCTCTTGAGTTTCCAAAAACACAGGCCTAGAGCTAGGCTTCACCTTCCTTTCTGCTTGGAAAGTGAAAGATTTACAGATATCCTAGACATGAGGCAGCGTTTTGAATGTCCTTATCCATCACAGGTGTATGTTGGACACAGGATAGATACTGTCTAAACTCTAGGGATTTGAGGGAAGCTCTGGCAAAACCATGTAAAAGAAAATTTAGAAAGAACCAAAAACAAATAGAAAAGAAATGTCTCTGGAGCCGGGAAAAAGGCACACCTCCAGCAGCCACGGGGCTGGTGAGTGCCCACGAGTTGATGCTGCAGTTCCTCAAAGAGGTGGGAAGAGTAAAAATCTTCTTCACTTTTTTTCAATTACAGGAAAGAGAAGAAAGTAAAAAAAATCCTCAGGCTGAAGATACCACAGAACAGAAAAAGGCAATTCTAATGTCAGTCTAACAACAGATATGGCTCAAAGTTTCAGCAGGTGGGATGGTGCTCCCCACGCTTCCAGTAGGCATCCAAGAGAGCAGGGCAGCGTAGGGGCTATGTCTCTCACTCGGGCAAGCCTTGTAAGGTGTGAATATGGATAAACACTTGGAAAAATCTCATGTGTCTAACACCAAAGAGTGCATTTCAGGCTCTAACAGTTACAGAGAAACACTTGAAAGTGCAACTTGCATATATTTTAAGAGCTTCCAGAAACCAGAATAAAAGCAAAATGAGCCCAAACCCTGTACTTTTTAAAGTCTCATGCTTTTGAGGCAAACCTCATATCTCTGATTTGCTTTGAGCTGACTTGATAATTTTAAATGGTTGTCCTTGAAAATTGTAAGACTTATTTTATTTTTTCGTAGGTTTATCGTATAGAAATGCTTAAAAAGCAATAAAGTCAATTTCAACAGCATTACTTAAATCCATGATTATATCAGTTCTGTGTTATGGGTATGCAGGGAGAAACTATCTGAGTAGGAAATTGTAAGGGATTCCTGCAACAATAGTTACATTGTTTGCACACATACATACCATAATAATAACAGAAAAGCAATAGCAACCTTGCAATTACAAAAAATACCCAGGGCCCTTAAAAAATGTATGTGTATATTCTGTGTTTACCCAGATTAAGTGTCACTAGGGACTAATACTTTATGTACCCTATATCTTCTATCTAGTTTATTAAAGTTTTTTCTGGGCTTCTTTTCTTCAAAACTGTGATTGTGCCTTATGATCAACAAGAGGAACCCAAGTTCCATGAAAGGTAAACACCTGCAAGCCGAGAACAGAGTGTGTAAGAAAACCTGGATTAATTTAATGACAGTGCTTTATAATGGACGATATAAATTTTCCTGCTACAATTGTTATATACATTCAACAGTTTTATTGTATGTCAGTGCACATTATTCGGCACAGCTGCTAGAGAGGCATTGCTGAACTGGTGTTTCTCTTCCATGACAAACACCTATTAAGCAGTCAGCATAAACTCTTCTTGTTACAGCCTCTGACATCACCCTCAGGGCAAGCGGACACAGAACAGCAATTGCTGAATCGCGTATGAAAATTATAGTTTTATTGTCTATACAAGTGAAGGTTTAACTCAGATTCCTGCTCGAGTCAGCTCTGTTATAAAGGAGTGATTCTTTCAGGGAACAAACAAGCACAGTACACCATTGTAATCAAAGGAACAGACACTATTTATGTATTGGAAAGCCTTGTTCACAATAGTGCTAATGCCCCAGAAGCCACTATTTTAGCAGCTGTAGAGAAAATAAAGCATGACTAACAAGATACCATACAGAGTCAGATACAGTTTTTTTAGCACACAGATGGAATCATCCCATTTAATATAATTCAGTTTAAAGGCATGACCCATAAGTGGGAACCATGTATTTAATGTTTATATAAGCATTTTCTCCACCGTAGCGTTCAAAGGCTTCCAGTGTCTCTTGAATGAGAACTCCAATATTTTCACGCTTCTGCTGGCTGTATTCTATTCCATCACCTAAATTAACTGGTTAATAAAAGACAAAAAAAAAATTATATTTAACGTCTTATACTTCGAAATAATGACATAGGAAACTGCAATTGCTGGTTAGTCATTGTGCCTCTATTAAAAACTTTGTTCTGTGACATGAAACAGAGCTGAATTTGAAAACAGGATGGTTTTGGTATCTCTTTAAGGTTCTGCTCAGTCTCCAGTTTCATACGCCTTTAAAATTCATGTATGCATTACTTTAGTGTCTAAGAAAAAATCCTAATAAAAATAAAGAAAACACATTCTTTTATAAGATAAATATGAACTCTTTTACACAGTTAATCTCTTAAAGCCATTTCATCTTTATTTCTAATATTGCTTATTTAAGATAAAATTCAACTGCCAGATGCATAAGTGCTTGTCTACAAAACATGATTTAATCTAGACTTGTTATGGTTTGAAATCTTAAAAACCTATTGGTTTGGGATTGCTCCCTGTTAGACATCATATTCAAATACTTTTTTTTTTGCTCTGATAGAGGGAATGTCACCTGGCCTAAAAGATTTTTGGAGAATAACATGGTACTCGTTAAATTTCTGCTTCCTGAAAAATGTGTAAAAGTCAATGTCGAAAGGAAAAATTATTGCAGCCCTCAGATGCAGCAGCATTTAGTGCTGCTTTCTCTAACATGGACTAGCAAGGGTGACACATGATCATACACATAAGGCATAATTCTTTAAAAATCAGTGTGAACAACTGTGACAACAAAGCAAGAACAATAAGAAATAACTTCAACTGCCAACACGCTAAGAGATTTAAAGGAAGAAAATATAATTCAGTCGGTTTTAAAACAATATTCTGCAAAGTATCTGAATATATATTCCAAGACATATATGAAAAATAATTTGGTAGGAGCACAATATACTCAGATGGTGTACGTAACACGTGGCGTAGTGGCCAGGTGGGGCAGCTGTCACACTGCTACAAGGTAATCCACATGCAAGCAGCCAGTGGGCTCAATGTAGGCAGCAGGGACAAAATGCCCATAAGAAACATTTAACATCTCAAACAACACTGCTTGCTCATCGACACTCTCAGCCTGCCAGTGACAGACAGGCTTGTCAAGACAACGCAACCAGCTCCTCGGGTATTGCTGCCTTTCACATTAGAAACATAGCACACAAGGGTAAGAGTAGATTTTGCTCCCACTGCTGCCTCCAGATGCCCTGGTCGATGAGACATAGATGGACAACTGCACACATCCTCATATCCTGTCCCAGATCTAAGGCCAAGGCTCTGAGTTTAAAGCTTGTGACTTTGTTACCAGTAAGAAATGAAGAACCATGCTCATGAAAAAAGAGGTGGTGAACATGGGTAAAAATCATCCTTTTGCTGAATTTTCCTGTAATATATCTGATTGCACTCCAAGTTAATTATGTGTACATCAGTTTTTCAAACTGCTTACACATATTTATGTCACTTTGCTTTTTATGAAATGGTTACACAAATACAGATGTGACATACAAGGGCTGTGCTTCTGAGTGGAAAGGTGGTAATTTTTTTAAATTATGATTACTTTTAAGCACACAAATATTTTTGAATACATTAACTTTTAATTTCACTGACATAAGAAGTCAGGGTTGTGACATCAACATTTATTACAATACATTTACTGTAATGTTAAAAATAACAGATTATTAGACTGCATAAAAAGCACCAAGAGATATTTAAAAAAATGATTGGCTTATACAAAATGGAAAAAGAAAAGCACATTACAATTGAGTGCAATTGCAAGTAAACATGGTTTGCTCTTGCAGAAAACAACTGAGATAACTGTGCCTCATCATCTACCTTGCATGCACGCTGCCAGCACTCCCCAGAACACCTGGAGGTATTTCTGATTTCACCAGTTTGAGCAAAGGAAACCCTGAACCTTGACCTAAGTCTTGGCAAATATGTAAAGGAATTACTGACTTTCCAACCATATGTCTATTATCTGTAATTTTAAGCCTACACACATGCTCTGCTAATGAGCTTACACAGCTTTCATCATTCTTTCAAAGAAGAAGGAAAAAAAATCAGCTGTCTGGAAGTAATGGGGATACATTGCTAAAGAAGTTTGGAGGAAGCCAACAAGGCTCAGTGATAATGCTGGTAGAAGAGGTATTTTCCAGAATTACATGTTATGGTCTTTATTAGAAAGCATAGTCTGTACAAAAAATTATGTCTTAGATGCTTGATCAAAAGGTACCTAAGAGATGGAGGCAATGATGAAGGAAATAGTCTGCAAGCAAAGAATGAATGTGTGATGTGCAGACCATCATTACAATTTTTTTTTCCTGCAGACCATCTGTGCTATATGAAGGTTTGTATCCTCAAGGCAGCCATAATTCACACTAATGTCATGACACAAGCTACAACCAACAATAGTAGAAAGGTTATGTCAGCATCGAGGTCACCTGGTAAGTACTGAAATAGCTATCCTATGTAGTTATAGGAATTAACAAATCTTTCAGACAAAAAAGATAATCATTAACCCAAGAGGACAACATCCATTACATGGATGAGTCAGAATGATCTGCACCTAAGGGTAAATATCTACTCATAATAATAATGATGATTAGTTGGAAAAAAATAGCCACTGAAGTATAGCAGACTCAGCGTGCCCTTCTCTGGTTTGACTTTATCTTCAAGTTAGATTGCTTGAGAAGCCAACTTCGTCAGCCACAAAAATGTTGCACGGGTAAAGTGTGAATATGGATCTGATTCAAGCTCTTTATGAAATTGTCATTTGTAAGGAAGAATAAATCAACATGAAAATCCTAGGAAGCACATTTGTCATATCTTTGCCTCAAAGTGAAACGTATGGCAAATTCAGCAGTCACCAAGACAGAACCAAAGTTAATTCTGTGTTTAGAAGAAATGCACTGAAGGACTACTAACAGATATAGAGGATTACAATCAGGAAAAGATCTCATTTTCCCTTCCTAGACCAAAAAGTTCCCAATCTCCCAAATCACACACCAAAGGTTTTACGGTCCTTAAAGTGAAGTGAAAGTCTTTGCACCTGTCAAGACCTGTGTTAGCTGATGAAATCACCCAGCACACCAAGCCCAGGAGTGGCACTCCCTGTCCTGACAATGCCAGCTGCTGTAGCCAAGGAAACTCTGCTCAGACCCTCAGGGACTGAACTCAGCATTTGGCAGGGAACAGAGGAGGATTTGAATTTTGCTTTAAAATATGATTTGTATTTGAGTTTAGACATGCTTCTATTAATGATTCAGGATATTAAAGAAATTCTGTGTTATTTGTATTCCATCTCATTTCACTTTAAAATTTCATTAGGATAATGCTACAAATATAAACTTTTATTGGAATAAAGAAGGACAAGCAAGTTTCTCCCAATGCACTCAGAGCCCAATATGGCAGTTTTGAAGTTCTGGAGTGGACAAGAAGGGTAAAACAACCCTTAAAGCTCAGTCAGATCTATTCTTATCTCTGGATATTTGTTAGCATCTGAAAGTGTCTGAGACACTTCTTTTTTCAGTTTATTAGATTTCACTTCAAGGTAGGCCAGATTTCAAAAAGAAGTTTTTTTAATCCCCCAAATATATTGCTTGTAAGTATTTCACAGATACCAGAGTTCAGTCTTGGTGGTGACTGCTCCAAAGGGTTCTGCTTTATGGAAGACACAAATTAAAACCAGGGTTTTCATGCACCTGTTGTTGAAGGGATGTCATAGATCTTGGGATATTATATTTTCCCTACCTGCTAAATATCTGTGGAATGCTTAGTATTGGAGGACAAAATAAAAGAGATTTCTGAAGAGACTGTGAAGATAGCCCTATGTCCCCAGCTTAGGCAATATTTTTAATCAAATTATAACTCAAAGGCTATTCCTTTATTCTTTAACGATGAAAGTGATTCTTTATTGATTTTAAGAGCATATAGGCCCACACATATATTTCGACTTGTTGTCTTGGAACCATTGCCTAAAATGATTCTTAGCAGATATTTTTGAAGTAGTACTAGTTAACAAAAAAGACCTCTTGTATAATGGCTTTGGGGTTTTTTTCTGGTCGTTTGGGTTTTTTCTGGTTTGTACACAAACCAGTAAAACTACTTTGAAAGACAGGCATCATTACTCCCTCTTTGAATCTTAAGAAACAAAGATACTGAAAGGTAAAGTGACTTGTTCCAAGCCATGGAAGACATCAGTCACAAACCACGATTTTCAACGTTTTATTGCCGATGATGAAAGTTCTATTCATGGTAAAATATAACTATGGTTAAAACCAGTTTTAAGTGGCTCTGTTCATACTAGTCCAACCAACATGTATTTTCAGCAATTATAATGTTTACAGTAATGCAACACAGCAACCCGAATGTTACTTCAAAACAAAAAAAGCCAGCTGCAATGAGATTGAGCCTGACACAGAACAAAATGCAGTTGAGAAGGACAAACTATCATTAAAAATATTTTGAGGAAAATTTCAGAACTTTTTTTTCCTTCTGGGAGTCATCATCAATACCAAGAAATAAACAGAAACTGATTTCAGCTATAGATTGAAAGGCTTCTATGTCAGGGTTCACACCATGTAAGTTCAGAGCTCATGTACAGTTCAGAGCTTAGTTAGTTTTTCAAAGTCTTCTTGTTAGGAAAAGTTTAATTGCCATAGAATAAAATAAAATAAATAATAATAAGGTGTTGGCTTATTGACTGGAGTGGAAAATGAAAGCTCCTGATGAGTCATTGTGGGGAGAGGGAGGAAGGCTCCTTTGCACCACTCCTATCATCGTGACTCAGAACTGTGCTTTGAAATTGTCAGGTCTAGGAAGGATGAGGTAGTTCAGTCTCCCTGTGCATTTAATTGAAAGTTTGTGAAAAGTCACAGGTAAGATTATAAACCCCTCCTGTCTGCTAAGAAACAGTGGGACATTGCCAGTTCATTTCACTCAGGAGGTTACGGCTTCTGGTTGTTACTAACCCAGACAGAGAACTCCATGTTCCCTTCCTGAAGGCTCAGAGCAATGTGAACATCACTCCTACATGTTCTTAGGATATATCTAGATTATGTACACAGGGAAGTTCAAACTGGCCTCATGCAGGCTGGTCTCAAACCTAGAGTGTTGGAAAGGAGAGTTCATAGAGTAATTTATGCTGGAAGGAACCTCTGAGCTATGTGGTCCAAATACTCCGCTCTAAGTCAGCTCCATTTCCAAAGCTAGGTTGCTCAGGGTGGAATATCTGTAGTTGCTCAGCATAGAGTAATTCCAGAATGAGAAATGGTGCAGAGATTCCCTTGGGCTGGTAGAGCTTTTCACCAGCCATTTCAAACGTGATGAAAAGAAGTGCTACTCCTTAAATATGAAAATTGACTTCATGAAGAAGGGTTTGCTAAAGTTACAAATGTCAAAGGGAGAATTATTATGTGTTTTGATACAAAAGAAATCTAAACTTTTGGCATAGTAACAGATAACAACATATATAACACTGCTTTTGGAAGCTTAATCATATACCAAAGAAAGAGGTACAGATTTGGCTGAAAAATTAATAAAATTTCATTTACATCCTGACATGAAACCATGAACATAATTATAAAAATAACATCTATATTTCAAAGCACTTTAAAACATTAAAGTTGATCATATGAATATAACTTTAAAAAGGCCAAATCTTTGAATAGGCACAGACCTGTTTTTTGACACTATCAACACTAAGAGTTCCTTGTCTCTTACTTTACTTGGCTCTTCCTTCTATTTTTCATCACTAGTGCTGAGTGTTTGTCACTTTACAATGCTACAGTACTGCAGAGATTGCAGAAGAATGTTTCAATCCAAGAAGAGAGCATGTATGCTTGGAATTTAAAAAGAATACTAATACAGAGACATTTCAGCCCATCATGCCTCAGAAAAGATTTTTTAAATTCTCACTGAAGGCACTTTGCTTTAACATAAAATATAGATTCTTCCTATAGTTATCTTCCATATGCAGCTATTTCATAAATTAGCATTTATTGTACAATGTAAGTGCTGTTACTATAAATACTATTCAGAAAGTCAACAAGTCAGTAAGTAGAGGAAGTGCTCTGATTGGAAAGGAAACATTTGACTGACTTATGATGTTTTACTAACAATGTAAGTCTACAAGAGAGAGCTGCAACTACTTGTAAATTGCCGCAGTGAAAAAAACCAAACCAAAACAAACCCATACCCAACAAACCAAAAAACCCAAATGAAAATGAGCCAAGACAGCAGCTGTTATCGCAGTTCTCCATTTCCAGGAAATGTTAGCAATATCAGATGTAATCCTTTCTAAGCCCAGGTTTTTGGTGTTGTTTGTTTGGGTTTTTTTTCTTTTTTTTTTTTTAATAGAAGTACAAAAATGAAAAAGAAATCACAGCTTCTGTAACAAAATTTATTAGCAAACATATCTGACCAATGAGGTAAAAAACAAGAGATTATTGTGGGTTTTTTCCTCTGTAAGTACTTAGACTTCTCCAATTAATTTAGACTTTGAAGTTTGCCTATGTTTGTGCTGCAGATCAATATCAAACAAAGTAGAGTTAAATAATCTTACACAAACAGCATGCTCAACAGGGGAATGGAATCTGGAGTCTGAGATCTCTGTGGCCCCCGTACACTGTTTAGTATTGCAAAACAATATATTAGTTACAAATCATGCTTAAAGTGCAACAAGAGTTGCATCAGTTGTGTGAATCCAACGTTCTTCCAGTAGCTTTGCATGTATATAAGCTATTACAATATAAATAATATTTTTTAGTTGGAAATCATGTTTGTGTGTGCAAAATTTGTATAGCTTTTCTGGACTGATGTGAAATAATGTTTGTTCATCCCATTAATTCCTCATCCAAATAGAGCATCATTAATGCAAAAGGAATTAAACCATGGAAAAACAAATCTTTGCATGTGTGTGGAATAAACATAATTTATTTTTTTTAAGTAATTCAAAGTGACAAACCTGAAAGTCCCCAAATGCTTTAAAGATTGCTGCTTTCAGTATGAAATGTAGTCCTAAACCAGCCAATTTTTGACATTGAGTTACATACATGCTCAAACACACGATGCTTAACAATCCATCCTCCTTCCCCCAATGGAAGTTTTTATTAATGTAACCAAAATGCTCTTAAGGGAAAGCCCTAGGTTTCTCTTCACAAGCAAAAAGCTCTTTAATTCATTACTTTGTGTTAATAATGTTGGTATGTTTGTACATCTGCCATGTACTAATGGAAATGGTTGTGTCTAGTTTCAGCATTCAAAATCATTACCATTTAAGGAGCCTCTCTGGTCTAGCTTGCCCATCAAAAATTTGGCAACTAAATGATTTCAATGACTGCTTTTATAACTTTGTGACAGAAGGATGAGCCCTTTATTGTCACTGGAATTTTCACCCCAACATGAGGAAAAGCTTCTTTACCTTTAGAGTGTCAGAGCACTGGAACAGGCTGCCCATGGTGGAGTCTCCCTGTCTGGAGACATTCAAATCCCACCTGGACACGTTCTGGTGTCACCTGCTCTAGGTGACCCTGCCTTGGTAGGGGTGTTGGACTATGTGATCTCCAGAGGTCCCTTCCAACCCTAACAATTCTGTGATTCTGTGGAATGCAACCATACAAAAATAGGGCAAGATATTCAAAATTTCCCATCAAAATTATGGGAGCAAGTTGTTAGATATGCCTATAGATTGCTGGATATGCATGAAGTTGCCAGTTTTCTAGTTTCACTGTTCCCTAGTTTAGTTAAATAAGTAAGAACCTTAAGTAAACAGAAGGTGTTTTAGCAGTGATTTGAGAAGGGACAAGGAGATGAAAGCTATGAATGACTGTGTGGATTTGCCAAGATTTCTTTCATTGCTGTAGGACAAGGACAGAATTTATGCAGTTTAAAGGACAGCTAGCACTGAAACTGGAATGTGCTATTTTATCCTCAAGCCAGACAGAAAGGAACACCCCACTCCTCAGATATCAGTGTTATAAGTGTTAAGATATCTCTTGGTGTTTAAGTTCTTGTAATATGTAATATGTATTTTAATAAATTGACTAATCTGATTACTGTTCCTTTCTCAGTTTTTCCTGTTGGCTCAATGCATATCATAGATCAAAAAACTAAAACCAACCCCCTCGCCCCCCCCCAAAATAACCTTCCTAAAATGTGAATTTACTTTCTTTTTATGAAGAACATAAAGGACACAAAAAATACTTATCAAAGCTAGTTAACAGCTATTCATTTTATATTAAGAAAAGCATACATTTGAATCTATAACACCTTTTCAAGCAAACAGAGAAGCCAATTTTTATACAACTAAAATGTATTATGATGTGTAGTCTTTACTTACAGGAATGTAAAACAGATAAAAAGAAAAAGGAAATTGTGTCCCCTAGGTGTAGTGTTTCTGTAGATTCACAGCTTTGAATTGTGTAAGCTGAAGCCTTTTGAAAGCAATGTAGAAACTGCACATACACCACATGCAGACTGATTTTTGCTATTTTTTTTATGTGAAGAAAGATAAGTGAATAAGAACTATTTCATTAGTGACTCTTAGCTGGAAAACACTCAGTCTTCTTGTCTAAATTATACCTGTACAGAAGGTGACAGAAGATATTTACATGTTTTTTCAGTAACCTGACTTAGACCACCTACTGAGATTTAGCAGACTGACATACTCCCTCAATACACAACAAAACCTTTTGTTACTTATGCAACTTTTTTTACTTCCTTTACCATCCAATATAAAATCATTATTTACTATGCCACTGGAGATATCATAGACCCTTGAATGTGTTTATTAAAATATACTCCTACCTTTTGCACAAAGGGATCACAGTGTTATTAAAACATGAGCATTTTAGTGATCCCTAAATAAAATTGTTTGTACCAAAGAAGCAATTGCATACAGTAAGTGTGTATACAAGCAATAGTATGGGAAATGATTAGCAGTTTTTTAAGATAAAACTAGTATTCACATATATTACAATATTGTAAGAGAAAATGATTTTTAATATATAAACCCATATATTTATTTTATTATGCTTTATTACTTTTCTTCGTTGTTTTAAGAAAATGGTGTTGTTCCAGTAAAAATTATTAATGTGGAGTCTTTTTTCTCACTCCAGATAGTATTTTTCCTGACAAAAAAAAAAAAAAAAAAGCACAATCATAGATCCTAGCTATAGGAGAAAGAATTAAGAATATATTTTTCTGATTTCTGGTGCTCATGACACAATTTTACTGTTGGCGTGTATGAATATAGGAAAAAACATCACTCTTACTTGCATTGCTTACACCTCAAGAATTGCAATCATCCATAAGCACATAATCTCTTAAGACTGTACTTGTTTTCACACATTTGCTGAAAAAAAAGACCTTTAAACATCTATTCTGGAACTACATGTGGAAGCGAAAAATGGCTTTTCTGTGACAAAACAGGATAAATGACGTGCTTGGCGTAATGAACTAGAACTCAGTTATAACACTGATCATACAAGTGACATAACATAGAGAACATCCAACTGCTAACAATGCAGCACTTCTCGTTCAGACTGTGATACTTTTCTTAATATCCTTTCACTTCATTACAAAAGCAGTGAACCTGAACAGTCATGCTTGAAAAAAAAATCTTTGCTTCTCAGGTGAATTTGTGGTTGTTTGTCTGAAACTGCTGCATATACAATGTTTCTGTAGGCTGATGGCAGTGAACTAGTTACAGTAATTTCATCTGCTGTGCAGTGGCCATTTGAGTGTTTTCTATCATGACATGCTGCTGTGGCAGTGCTTTCAAGCATGGAATTAGAAATTTTGTAAATTTTTTTGCTCCAGCCAGTCCTGGCAAATATGACCATTTCTGTTCTCTAACATAGCTAAAGCATGCTACATTTTGAAACTGCAATCTTAATTTTCTACTTACCATTCACACGTCCTATAGCCCTCCCAGCCCTTGTGCCTGACAAGTCTACAACTGTTCAGCTTCAGAAGGAAACAGCTCATACACACACATACACATGTGCACGTCAGGACAGCAAGGAAGAGCTAAGAGAAGGAAAAAATGATATGGCTGACTGCTCTTGGTCAACTCTGGCCAGCCTAGAAAGAACACCCAAGAAAACATTACATAGCATAGCAGTGCACAATGTGTTTGAGTACTTGAAGTTTGCATTTTCATGTATTATAATGCAGAGCAAAAGCAAAAAGCTGTCAAGAAAATTCTTCTCTGGCAACTTAAATATGCTTTCTCACACTTGGGTGATCTGAGAGTACATGCACACATTATAGTCAGCTTTGCATTAATAACAATGAAATGTCCATTCCTATGAAGGAATGTCATAAGGGGGCCTTTTAGATAAATCTGGAACACCTTGAAAAGATAACCTGGAAGTCAACCTGACTAATACCTAAGTGGGACATATTTCAAGAGTAATATTCTCTTGCAGTTTTCCAGGAATGTTTATTGCTCAGTGGGTAAGGTCAGCCTCCAGAGGAAAGGAAGAAGTAACACCTCACAAAATTCCTTTATCTCTTCTCTTCAGCAGACCACAGATGGCTGTTTCATCTCCTACGTTGTTTAATGCTAACGGCTGCAGCAAGTTTACAGGTCTCTGATCCAACTCTGCAGCTGCAGTCCTGAATTGGAACCGATTGAAAGCACTACCTCAAGGTGAACAGAAAACTCTGCTTCAGAAAAATATCAGTGAGCATTTAGGGACAACAGCAGCTAGAGCAGAATGATGACTTTTGAAGAAAACTATGGGATGTTATTTTAAGGAGAAAGAATAATATATACTAGTCTCCATAAATTAACGTGAGGTAATTTCTTCCTGAGTCCCCAAGGAATGTTATCACTGAATGGTGATATCTGGAAAGGTCCTCCTGCATTACTTGTCCCAACACAACCAAAGTGCTTGACTGATAAGTAAAATAGACATTTCTTGTCTCAGGGAGAAGAATGTGGACATTGGAGGAGTAGAAGACAAACAAAGGCTGAAAGTGGAGGAAGAGAAGCCAAGAACATTCCTTTTGCTAGTTAATTTTTCTAAGGATGTTTCATAAAGGTTTTAATTTATATGAATATATGCATTATGGGTTAGCATAATTATTCCCTAGTGTAATTTAAAATATCCCAAAGGATGCCAACTGACAAGTTACATCTGAGCCTGTTGACTTTCCACTGTTATTTTGTAGCAAAACATGGGGATAAGGTAAATAGGCTTATCTGCACATCTGTAGCTAGAACCCAATATCTTTGCTTTATGAGCAAAAATCTTGCCTACTTACAAGTTTGCTCTGGGAACTGATTAGAATGGAATGTCCACAATATTAATGTAAGCATAGGGTTCTTTCAGGAATGTGCTATCAGCTTACCTATTGACTTTATAAGATGGAGGGGCGAACTGAAGCTGTTACTGGTCCATGAGAAGAGAGGTACCAACAGCCTTCCAGTGCTTGAGACCTCTCCTATTGCTTTCTTTTCTTTTAATAAAAAGAAAAAAGAGTAGTACAGAAATCTCTTGTTGGTTTGGTAATATCCTCATTTTAGAGAGGCATAAGCTTTCCTCTCTACTTAATATCAAAAAATGTGGAAAAGTCATTAAGTCATTTTAGGTATTTGTCATCAGATCTAGTGCCTCAGCCATCTGCCTTAACAGCTCCTGAAACTGCTGATAGTTGTCTGGAAGAGATTATAACCACTGTCACTGAATCCTCAGAAGACACTGAAGAAGTCAGGCTAATATCAGTTTATTTACATATCCTCACTCTTGTAACATTATCTATATCTAGCAGCTCAGAAAGGCTTAAACAGGGGTCATGGTTCTAGCTCTGTAGGGGAAATGGTACAATAAGATAAGAACTTGATTTTATAGGAAAGGAACAATAACAGCACAATTTTCACAATTTTAGCTAACAGACTGACTTAACTTTCAGCTAACAGATTGACTTAACTTCCCATGTCCATGGAAGACAATGTGAAAACAGTCAGGCAGAATCAGAGACACAGGGCAGGAGACAACACTGTGGTATAAATCTTTTAGAATGGAGATTTCAGACCAAGTTAGAAATTGCACCACTTAATATCTGTCACGTGGGCTCTTCAGGAGACTCAGTAAGGCTGCATTAGATTTACCTCATGGCATACAGTAGGAATTAAGTTCCCAAGAGCAGTGTCCAAGTGAGTGAAAGGCTGATCAGTGAGTTTCACAGAGGCAACCAGTGGTGAGCAGGGAGCAAAACAGTGTCTAAAATACGATTTTTCTATGAGACTATAGCTCAGAAGTTTTCCTGATGGTAGATAGCTATTGCCATTCCTTCTGGGTGAGACTGAATGACTTCTTTAAAAGCAAGTTGTGCCACAAGACAATAATGATACCTGCTTCCCATGGATGTGTGCTGGTTTTGCACTATACCTCTTTACAATAACAATTTGTTTCCCGCAAGTTTCTACAGCAAGTTTATACAGCTATGGCAGTATAAACTAAGGCATGTTTTGATGCATTGTATCTGTTGTATACCCCATCAAGAGTTCTCTCATCATGGGCACGAATTTGGACCTCTCCTCTCCACCCAGATGTCAGTTTTTTTCAGAAACTCTGTCCCTTTTCCAGTTTGACTGAGTTTGGGCAATGAGTTTAAAAGTTATGTGAGTTGAGGGGGGGAGGGCCAGGGGGCAGGGAGTGGGGGAAGATTTACAGAACAACCTTGTGACCCATTAAGCCTTGTGTTTTTAGGAGGGCAGGCATAAAATACATGAGCAAGGGCAGCAATGCTTGCCTTAGTTTTTTTTTGTTTGAAAACCTAGTGGTGAAGCACCCTCCCAGGAAGCAGGAAACAAGCCCAGCCTATGCAGTTTCAAATCTGCATCTTTTGTGATCAGGGAGATTTCACCTAATTATCAAATTAGTTACTCACAGAGAAATGCTCCTGTGACCTTTATGCTTATGATTTGGCAAGGAGGCAGCTGTAGAGACAGACCTTTTGCTAGACTATGAACTTGTGCCAATATTTGCAGAAAGACACAAAGTTTAGCACCTGAATCCAATTTTCAGCAGCTACCTGAGCAGGTTGATCCTGAGGCCTTAGCAGTTCCCAAATGCAGGCTGCAGTGAATCAGAACATCTGTACATGAGGCTAGATATTTACATGTCTAAATACATATTTACATGAATATAGTCTACAGTGCCAATTTTTAAGTGTTTTGACTTGAACTAACTTCCTAACAGATGGTTATTCTGAATCTATCTTCATTTATTTATGGCTGTTTATGTTTTTACAGATATAATAAATGATCCAAAGCTTATTCCTTGTCTAGTTATTTATATTTTAATAACAGTTAAAGTTACTATTGTACTGTACAATCTATGGAAATTACATAAAGATGATCTTTCTGTGTTGTACTCACAAGACATCCCTCCAAATATTCAAGGAAAAACTTCCATGACCACAAGACAAAGTGAGCAAGCATAAATGAGATGTTAGAATCATGTATACCATTGTAAGCTTAAGTAAGATATTACCATAAAACAGACAAGGCCAAAAAAATCTGAAAGAAAAAAAAGTAGAGGAGAAAATACAGGAAGATAAGGAAGATATTGAAGTACATGAATCAGAAGCTTCAGAAAATGAAATTCAACAAAATTCATGCAGAATTTCTCAATAAGATAATTCTCATGCTACATAAAATGCAGGTTTTGGTATCATAAACAGATGTAGGTCTGACTCAGGAAACTGTCATGCAAATGTGTAAGTGGTTACAAAATCGGGACTAAAGTGTGTTTATTTATATCAAAGCATTTCCTAACTAAAGAAGTAAGCATATATAAAGTATTAAGAAATGAAGGGCATAATATCGTTGTCAGCAAATTCATTCCTCACCATGTAAATCAATGTGTTTCAGAAGAGTAAATGAGAGAGGGAGTTAGCTTTCCTCTGCCCACTACAGTGATTAATTAGCTTATTTTCAATAAGAAAAGTACTAGCTGTGTTGTTATCTCATAGCTTTTTTTTCACAGGATCAACAGTACAAGGAAACAATAGCTATCCATTACCCCATAAAAGGAAAAGGCACACATGACCATGAAACACTGTGAGACTCTGGTAAGAAATGTCATGAGAAAGAAGACTTCTCAGCTAAGTTGTATTTGTTTATATGTAAATTGTAATATTCAGGGAAAGCAAAGTTTGGTGTAATAATTTTCTAATATTAACGTGACATGCATTTTTAATGCATGGCTTTAACTACAATCGTCTAAAGAAGATTCAGACTGTAACAACACTACATTTGTATCAAGAAATCAGATCTGGAAGGAAAGACAAGGAAATTTTCCCACTGAATGATAAAGATGGTTTATTTCCATAAGCCAAATAATTTTTCAGGAAACATAAACTCAAAAGATTATTGATGTAGAACAGTTTTTATCGCATCAGCTGCAGAACTCCACTGGGGAAAACAGAAAGGAGAAGCCCTTAGGCCACATTTTGTGTGACCTAATTCTTTCAAGGGTATGTTTCTGCAAATTTTTAGGAAGTGACAATGCAAATGAACAACAGTTCCCACTGTGATGTTTTCATGGGATCTCTGAATAACCTCACACAGCAGACTTTGCACCAATACAACCGTACATAGTTTTGTTGTAGAGCTTAATTACTTTTGGATGTAAATGAGCAGAAAAACAATTATCACACACCCAGCAGAAGAAACGGTTATGCTTCTATAAATTTCTGGTATTCTACTGCTGTGATGGTCAATTTAAAGTTTCAGTCTATGTGCTTCTGCCAGTTAATGATTAGTCTGCTACATTTTGGTGAAATTGCACTCCAGTCAAGGGAAATGAAGTAAAAAGATGAGGGGAAAAAGAAACTAATATTGTTAAAGTCTAATTAGAATAGCAGGGCCAGTGCTGGACTTAGCTGTGATGAGGTTGTCTTTCTATTAAATTCAATACACTGAATTCACAGGGAGAAAGATCAAATGCTACGATTTCATTTTCATGGGTGAAGTGTTAATAGGAGTGGGGATTAACTTCTTCCTCATGTAGTGATTTTTTTTTAATATTAATGTAAATCAGAATGCAATCATTCTTCTCTCTGCAAGTATATTTCTAAAATCTGACATTTTACTTTCAGAAGGATTACTGCCATGCAGCTTATTTTGAAGGAAATCACATTCCTTTAAAAAAAGAAAAAAATTCATTCTGTTGACTTTAGCATCATCAGCAATATCTACCAGAAATTCATTTTAACAGCTTCCTATGTCAGACAACCATTTCTTACTCCTATGGTTTTAATTCATTCTGGTTTGTTTCTAAATGAGTACTTACAGTAAGAGAATGTGCTTCCCTCTAGTAGCTTAAGTTTTTTATTTAACAACTAAAGATCACATTTGAGCTGTAGTTGATAAAAACATGCTAATTAAAAAGTGTTTTAAAAATATAATTGGATTTTGTATAAAAAGAACCCCAATAAGCAACCAAAAACCAAAAACAAAAAACCCCTAAATGAAAAAAAAGCCACTATGAAAAAAAAACAACCTCAAAACCAAAAAATCCAAACAAAAAAAAATCCTCCCCCAAAAACCCCAAACCCATATCCTAATATTAAACTCTGTATTTTTGCTCTAGACCATCTAGGTATCATAATATTTCACTCCTCCTCGAAAAGTGTTAATGGGCATTAACACCAGCTTTACTAGCCACATATTCTGAAATATTTAAGGGTTCATGACACATAAACTCATATTGGTACAATAAGTGTTGATAATAAAACCTGTCTGAATGCCAATAAACATATAGGGTGGAGAAATATTACATATTCATCCCTTCACCTACATTTAATACAGAAAGACCCAAAACATATATAATTTAGATAAGGCAGAATAGCATTTTAAATGTAAAAGGTCAGATGCTTGTACTACACATTTTTCATTTTAAATCATGCACAAAGTCTACCTGTAGACATTTGAAGCTGATGGGAAATGTGAGTGTTTATTCAGCTGGATCTTTCAGTATTTCATATATAATGCATATGTTCCCTGAAATAGTTGAAATTGACTACTACGAACAAATGGTGGGATGTTGTACACACATCTCAAATATTCTATAAAGCAGACTAAAAATGTGATATAGACATCAATTTCCTAATGCTTCATAATGTTTATTCAATAGCAACACACAACAATAGAATTTCATCCTTGATTTTTTATGAGAACCATAATCTTTCCATTCCTTAATTAGACCATGAATACAAGGAAAATCTAAGGAATGCATAGAATATCTATATTCTTTTTTCCCCTAATTTTGCTGTTCTGAGGACTTTCTCAAAAATTCTTTTGATAAACATCCTTAACATAAACACCTACATTGGCAGGAATATTTTCATTGGGGAATAACTGCGATAGTCCATAATCTCTGATGTCAGTATTTTCACTATGTTATTTATCTCTAAAATGTGTAATGTTCTCAGCTTTCATCTCTCCCAGTGTCTTACATGAATCAGCTCTTAAGATAGAGCAGCTACACAAATTCAGATTCCAACAAGACAGAAAATGACTTGAGGAGAATACAGTATTATTTTTAATTTTTCTAGAGCTATCATCTTCCAAGCTATCACTTTATACAGACAGATTCTCAAGTTAGCTGGACCATCAAAACAATCCATTTGGATAGCTTGGCATTCAGTCATAAAATGACTGAACAGTTAAAAATTTTGAAAAAGGCCTCTCCCCACCTGAGGATGACTATAAAGCTGTACCCTAGACTACTACATTATGATTAGGCCCTGGCTTTTTCACTGAAAATCATCTGAATGAGTTACTGAAATTTATATTCCTTCAACAGAAGTCCAACAAACACTGACTATTGTTATCCTTTACAATTGCCGGGCCAAAGATGTGGTCTCTATCCCAAATGTGAAAGTCCTGTAAGAAATGCTTTTCCCACGTGCTGCACAGTATATTTCTACATGAGGAGACTGTCATCCTCAGTTGTTCTCTTTTGTATTAATCATGAATCTATCAATCTGAAAAACAAAGCTCATGGGAGCAGAATATAGGCTAATTCAATAAAGAGAACAAAAGATTTCAGATTCCCTGTCAGAGAATATTAGCTTGACCACAATTCTCTCAGCTTTCAGAACAAAGCGCAAAACTCACTTCAAATTAGTATCCTCATAGTCACTATAAAAAGCAACTTAGAAGAAGAAAATAGGACATGGATCAAGGTGGAAGGGGTGAGGTTAAGAGTAAATGAGATTGCTAACCTATTGTGAGTCTAACTAGTTTCTGGAAAATACTCAAATCCTATGATAGGTAACTTTAAAAAAGGTGAGAAATACTTTACCCTGGAAAAGTATTTAATGCTGGGAAATGTTGGTTAAATAGAAAATAAGATATGAGAGTTGGTTGATTGGTTTATAGTTTTTATAATTTATAATTAAATAATCACATTAAGTAATAAATGCTTTGTGGTTGTTACCATAATCACAATTGATCGTTTAGTTGTGATGGTTTCTAAAAAGGAAAATGGTTTAAGTTAAGAAAATGTGCTATTTAAAATGCATGTGTATAGTA